CGGTTTAACTCAGTTTTTGTCTCTAAATCTCTAACTCACATGAGTTAGGTCCATAATTTATGCTATGAACCCGCTCCCCGAAATTCTCTATCATTTAAAAAAAAATTTGAGCAAAATCGGCCCAGCCGTTCTCAACTGATGCAATTTCGAATTTTTTGTCTCCATTTTTATATATATAGATTAGATATATGTGTATTATCATCTATAGACAGTAATATATAATAATAAAAGTAATACACAATAAGTATAATAATAATAAGTATAATACAATAAGTATAATCAAACGTAATAATATTTATAATAATTGAAATACTACAGTCACAGTTAACCAACCATCATATCATAAGCACATACAACAAAAGTGTATTTACTTACACACGGTATCGACAATAAAAAATAAAAATTTCGAAGTATTGTAGGTATTTTACGGTACGAACACATTGTTACATAGTTAAAAGGTAATTACAATTGCGATTGAACAAATAGATAGTGATACGACATGTTACAAAATGTTGAGGTTAATTTAATTTGACTAATTTTAATACTGATACTGTAACGTGCGGCCCTTCAGGGATCCAAAGGCTGTCGTGCTTTTACAATAAAATATAGTCAATTTAAAATATGAATCAATTGTACTTTATTAAAACCAATAATAATTAATGTAGTCGTGGTGAAATTGCAGCGTCGTGAGTTGACTTGTTGTAGTAGTTGATAATCTCCGTGTAAGGCTGTGTGCAATGGCTGGTGCATAAGCTGCTGTCTCGGTCTTGGCGGCTCTGGTACATCTAATTTGTATTGGAGCCCTAGCCTCTATATATACGAATATACGAAGGCGACGCCCTTTGAATTGAGCGGCGCGTGGCATGCAGGCGCCCTTGGGAAGTTGTTGTGATTCGAAGCGTCTATTCTAGCTATGACCACTTTTGGGTGCGGTCGACGAGGCCGCTTTCTACATAAGTAGTTCTTGTTATTGTGAGCGTTGTACATGAATTGCGTAATCCCATTACACCTCCCCACCAAAAAAAAAATTGTTAACCTTTAAGGGTTAAGAATCTTTAACAATCATTGTTAAGTTAATTACCTAATCACAATAGTTGATTTACAATTTGACATACATTTGATTACAATTGTTATAATAGTTTACAATTTTGATATTACAGTGTAGACATTACAATTTTTTAGTGTCATACATAATTACTGTTACATATTTGTTATATATATTAAAAGTTATATATCGTGATTAGTACAGTGTTAGTAAGAACAAAATATATAAATTACTAAATAACTAGTGTTAGTAAGAAGGAGCAATAGTCCTTCAAAAATAATAAAATAGTATTGTACCTGAAATTACAATATTAAAAGTGTAAGTATATAATGTAAGTATATAATGTATAACGTAAATATTTCGCCTTGAATACAATAATAATTATTATCTTCCACCAATTAATTTTATATAATAAATCTATATCATTTTTATCATAACGTTCCTTACTTTTTATTTTGTTTTTAACTAAATGATCTCTAGCTATCTTATGCGAAATTTGCATATTTTCTTTTAGATCGAATATATAATCGTCATAATTGTAACGTGGTTCAGGTTCGGCTTTTAATCTAATCGGTACCTCCAACGTACGTCCATAGACTAATGCATATGGTTGAAAATTAGTAGAAGTATGTACCGTTGAATTATATACAAAGAATGCAAAGGGTAGTAAATGATCCCAATTATTTAAATTCTTATCTACATAATGCCGTAAGTACTCGGCTAAAGTCCTATGAGCGCGTTCTACGGGGTTACCCTGCGGTCTGAATGGACTTGTATTAACCTTTTCTATCTTTAATATTTTACAAACATTTGCAAACGTTTTCGAGAGGAAATTAGTTCCTTGATCCGTGAGTATTGTCTCTGGTATGCCGTGTACACAAACGAAGTGTGTAACAAAGGCTTCCGCAACAGTATTTGCCTTCTGGTCAGGAAGTGGAACTCCTAAAGTGTAACGTGTCAAATCGTCCTCAATCGTTAAAATGTATACATTATTGGACAGTGTAATCGGCAAGGGCCCTACTATATCCATAAATATTTTTTCTAATGGTTTAGACGAAGTGGATGTAATAGCCATTGGTTGTTTTATGTGCCGATTTGATACCTTATTAACCTGACATGACGCACAATTTTTTATATATTTTCTAACGTCTTTTTTCATACCCTTCCATAAGAATTGTTTTTTAATGCGCTTAATGGTTATATTCACACCTAAATGTCCGCCTAGTTTTGAGTCATGAAATTGTGATAAAATGACTGCCTTTTCTTCTTCACTATATTCTACATTTGCACATATAATTATTTCTATATTTGTTTCGCGAAATATGTATCGCAATATTGACCTTATTTTTTCCCATTCCAAATCATCGTGACCGCCTAACTTGCCCATGGCTAATTTATTTAGATTATTTTCCTTACAAAATTGCTTCAAGTTTATTAGTGATATATATATACTTTCATAAGTGGCCCTCTGTCGGTCCTTGTTTTTCGTTACTATGAATATTATAAACCAGTTTGCATGTTTAAAATATGGTGTGTCCCCTATTACTTTACTAATCGGCAACATTGCACCGTTTCCAAATTGTTTTTTTAACTGATAGTTCGTTCCTGTTCTAAAATTATATTGCTTGGCAATTTCTGATACTATATTATATTCTTTTGGTGAATCTATTAGCGTGCCTATAGTTTCTTTTACATTACTATTTCTGATAATTTGTGTTTCTAATTTTTCGAGAAATTTTTCGTATGATTCGTTTTTATTTTCTGTATAGAGTACATGCGTGTGAGTGCATCTACATTTGAATTTAAAACTCCGGGTTTGTAACGTATTTCGTAATCGTACTCCTCTAATTGTATTCTCCATCTAGCTAACTTTGATAATGGATTTTTCAAATTAAAGAGCCACGTTAATGGGCGATGATCGCTAAGTATTATAAACTTCCTACCGTATAAATATGGTCGAAAGTGTTTTACTCCGAATATTATTGATAAACATTCTAGTTCGGTTGTTGAATAGTTGCCTTCACTTTTATTTAGCGTGCGTGATGCATAACAAATCGGCAAATCTTTACCTATTTCTCCTTGAGATAAAATAGCCCCGAATGCTTTATTACTCGCGTCTGTAGTTAATAAGAAGGTCTTTGTGAAATCCGGATATTTTAGAACTGGTTCTGAGCATAACGCTGCCTTCAAGGTATCGAATGACTTTTGACATTCGTTACTCCATACGAAACTCGTGTCTTTCTTTAATAGATTGGTTAGTGGTTTTGCTATTGCACTATATGAATTTATGAATTTCCTATAATAGCCACTTAATCCTAAAAATGATTTAATGTTTTTTACAGTTGTTGGTATTGGAAATTCTACTACTGTTTTTAATTTACGTTCGTCGGGTTTTATTCCGTCTTTCGTAATAACATGTCCTAGATATACACATTCTCATTTTAAGAAGTTGCATTTATCCGGTTGTAATTTTAAGTTACTTATTCGTAAACGCTCGAAAACTTCTATTAACTTTTCGTTATGATCATATAAATTTTTCCCATACACTATTATATCGTCTAAGTATACTAAGCATTTTATTCCTATTAATCCCGCCAGAGCTGAGTTCATAACTCTTTGAAAAGTTCCGGGACTTGTCTTCATTCCCTGTATCATTCGTTTGAAATGCCAGTGACCTTGGTTAGTCGAAAAGGCTGTTAACTCTCGTGAATCTTTTTCCATCAAAATTTGGTAAAAACCACTCGATAAGTCTAAGAGGGGGAATAACTGACTATTTTCTAGTTGATCTAGTATTTCTGTAATATTTAGTAAAGGGAGAAACTCATTTATAGTAGCTTCATTAAGTGCTCTAAAGTCTACCACTACTCTAAACTTTTGTTTGCCTGAATTGTCCATTTTCTTTTGTACTAATAATAATGGGGAGTTCCATGGACTTCTCGATTTCTCGATAATTCCATTTTCTTCCATTTTTTGAATTTGTGAATTTATTTCGTCCGGTTGGGCGTATGGTAATCTATAAGGTCTACGATAAATAGGTGGTTGATCCTTTTTTAACTTAATAGAATGTGTGCCGACATTGGTGTAGGTTAGAACATCTCCTTCCAAATGAAATATACTATTATATCGTTCACATATCTCATAAATGGATTGTTTTTCTATTTCATCCATGTGGTCAGTTATTATTATTTGTTTCAAACGTGCTATTCGCTCATTGTGATCATTTGTCGATTCTACATTATATATTTCGTATTCGGTATCATAGAGTATTTTATTAAAGTCGATTTCAGATATACTTTTCGTTTCCTCTGATATATTTAACATGCTAACTATTGCCCTATCATTATTAACGATAGACACGGTACTACTGCAATATACGTCTTTTACTAATTCTTGTTTATGAATGTATATTTCCTTGCTTTCTATTAGCGGGTCAGCTATCTGTATTCCTACAATAGTTTCAGTCCGCGGATTTAATTTAATAAAACTGGTTTTGTCGGTCTCTTTGAATTTTGTTAGCGCATGCGAGGTCGTTTGAATAATTAATTTGTTGTTTGCTACATCGACTATTGCGTTATTTTTCGACAAGAAATCGTTTCCTAATATTCCGTCCTTGGGTATTGGGAATCGTGCACTCACGATATGAAATTCTGTTTTAATGTTTTCGCTATTTAATTTAATTAATATTGATATTTTCCCTATGGTATATTATGGTATATTTTCCCTATCAAATAGTTCATCAAGTTTCCTGTATCCTGAAGTATCCTGAAAGTTCCTGAAACGAAGCTGACTACGCTCCTGAAACGAAGCTACCGTATGACGGTTTCTCTCCAGTCACCAGCGAAACACTCACTTACGTAAGTAGAAAATTCATTCATTCCCCCATCTCGACCACGAGGCAAGTCACCTAAGGGGTGACACGGCTGGGTCTCGCACCGACGCGAAGGACTCCCTAATCATGACCAACCGGGGAAATCGCGCTCAACGCAAACGTAAATCCACTCCTCCATGCAACTCCGTAAAGAAAGGACGCAATCAAGCATTCTCACCACCATCCATATCTCAAACTAACCCGGTCACCGCACCAACGAGCCAACGTGAATCTTCGCCTTCTGCTGACGAAGAAACCTTATCAGAAAATTCATTATCAGAAGAGTCATTCCTTTCATCAACCACAGAAGACGACAAAAGTAGTCACCAATCCTCTACAAACGACCATCAGCCCATACCAAAAAGAATCCCGCCAATATTCTTGACGAAAAAACCCGAGTACCCATGGCGCATCATAGCCAAAAGTCTTTATGAAACACCCGGACACGAATATGTGGAAGCAAGTACCACATCTAAACTCAACGAAATCAAACTGAACTGCCCTGACGAAGCTGCTTTCCGCTCAGTACAGGCTTTTCTCGCATCTATTCAAGATAAAGTAGGCTTCCACACTCATGCACTTCCCAGTCAACGCACACTAAAAATAGTCATCAAAGGCATTCCTCTTGATATCACTGACCAAGAAATAACCGATGAACTTAAATCCCATGGATTTGAACCAACATTCATCAGAGCTTTCTCAAAAAACGGCCACAGAATTCCTCTACACATGGTTACCCTTGCAAACCTCGAACAAGCTAAAGACATATATCAAATATCTAAACTCTTCTTTATCAACATCAAAATCGAACCGTATAGATCAACTGGTCCGGCACAATGCTACAAATGCCAAAACTTTGGCCACTCCTCCCTCCAATGCGGCCACTCTTCAAGATGTGTCAAGTGTGGCGACACCCATGC